TTTGAAGGGGAGGGTACCTTTATCAGCGACTCATTCTTGAGCGCAATAGGGTAATGACAGGGAATGTAACTTCATCACGTCGGGAATGAGATCCCAGACCGACTCCGCCCAGCCAACCAAGGTTTCTATCCCTTCAGGGTCAGATAGCTGGTGCCAAGTTCGTGGGGGAATGTACTGGCTTGCATAATGGCTGACACCTATACGTTACAGTGGCGACTGAACGCATTCACAGTGAATTATCAACCCAATTGAAATCCCAAAACGTGGCGCATTCCAAAATGTTGCCTAACCTCAAATGGAATGCTTAACCCTTATCTTTTATTTTTCGTTTTTATTGTTATGATTGCTTCGAGCCATCATTTCTCGAAAAACAGGTTACGTTTGGCCCAGTACTCCGTAGTCGGGTATCTTGTTCATCCTCGTTCAGAAAGGGTCTCATAGCGCGACCGGGATGGTGCCTGACATCTTAGCGCGTTTGCAGTACGCGAGAGTGCGCAAGCGCCGGGTATGCCGCGATTGAAGCGGATGGCAGCGGTCGCAGTGGTCAAACGAAGACTGACAAACGAAGTTAAGCTTCGTTGTAGCGCCCTTCTCAACAGTATCACCGTTCCTTCGGTGAGGGGTGCTACTTGCGAAGGGAGAATTCTTCTATGGATCTCATCACGACCCATGCCTTAAGGTTCCATCGTTTTCAAAAGCTCGTCGAAAATGTGGATGTGTGATGAACTTGACTTCATCTGATTCAAGTGATGCAACTAAGCTACCCGAGTCCTTGTCTCATTTCATCGAATATTTCCCAATGCCCGACATCTTCCCAAACTTACCAATCGTAATGCATGACCTTTAGTGCAATGTGTCGCTCGAGCAGAAGTCGCCCTTTGTAAAATTGCCAAAACACTTCCGAGCGGTTGATTTACTTGCAGCATCCTCTCCCTACACAGTGCAGATGTCCTTCAGCAATTTTATGCCATTTTTGAATAAAAATGCAAATAATAGCAATGTCGAAAATGCTGATTTTGCTGCGTGGATATTACATTTTCTACGCCCAATATTGAGGAAAGCAACAAACACGGAATTGAAAAAGAATAGTTTTTAGAAAGCGTGGACAGTTTTGCATGAGTTACTTGTTAGGACCAACAAAAACGCTGCGATTTTATGTATGAATCATCGGAGCGCTTCATGCGTCATTCTCTCAACTCTTATCTTCATCCCATCTGCTCTGACCTGATCTCCGAACGGAACTCTGAAGGCTCTACGCTGGAGTTGTTTTGATCATGGCCCAAGCCGAATACGGCGCCATGCGCGGGGAGTCCGTGACAAGAGATATTTTCAAAGACTAGAAGCCGACAGGTCGTGGGATCTGTTTCGCACGGTAACTGCTCATTTGTTTTCTCTCCTCGGAAAATACTTTTATCATCACTGCTGTATCAACACTTGCCTATGCTCACCCATATAGAGCGATTGCAAGCGAATCCGATTCGCTTTGTGTTGTTAGCCCAATAAGGCTTAACCAGCCTTTATGGAAGTCTGGGATAGACTTATAGACACACCCCGTGATCGAGATATACTGTGTAAGTGTGTTCAATGATGAAATTAGAACTGCAACGTCGACTGGAAGTGAGGAAAAAAGAAAAAGGGATCAGCGAATACACTCTGAATAGATTTTCCCTCACATTCAGCAGTATTCATCCTTGAGGAAGGGTATGCATGGACGAGTTTTCCCGAGCGGGTTCTTTGCCAGCAAACTTCGTACCTGAAACGTGAATATCAAAACGTGAATTTAACACTGCCTGCTACAAAAACGTCTGTCAAGAG